GGAGTTTTCTTTTTCTTCCTTTTTTGAAGATGTATTTATTTATTTGAAAGGCAGACTTACAGAGAGGCAGAGACAGATGGCTGCAACAGCCAGAGCTGGGCCAATCCGAAGCCAGGAGCCAGGAGCTTCTTCCAAATCTCCCACGTGGTGCAGGGGCCCAAGAAACTGGGCCGCCTTCTACTGCTTTCCCAGACCATAGCAGAGAGCTGGATCGGAAGTGGAACAGCCAGGTCTCAAACCGGCACCCTTATGGGATGCCAGCCCTGCCGGTGGTGGCTTTACACACTATGCCACAGTGCTGACCCTAGAGTTTTGTGGTGTGCTGTGCCGGTCAAGCTGCCCAAGGCACAGAGCAGAAAGACCCCCACGAACTGAGACGTGGCCCCGAAGTTTAGTAGCTTGGTTTCTGAGCCCAAGCAAGCAACTTCCTTTCTCCATGCCTCAGTTTCTTCATCCGAGAATGGGTGACCAACATCCCTTGCCCTGGGTGTTTTTCTAGGCACTGAGAGCCTCAAAATAGACCTCATAAGTGCCCCCCCCAAGATGTTGTAGGAACAGAAAGGGCATATTTTTAATTTTTTTATTTATTTGACAGATAGAGTTAGACAGTGAGAGAGAGAAAGACAGAAAGGTCTTCCTTCCATTGGTTCACCCCCCAAGTGGCCGCTACGGCCGGAACTATGCCTATCCGAAGCCAGGAGCCAGGCGCTTCCTCCTGGTCTCCCGTGCGGGTGCAGGGCCCAAGCACTTGGGCCATCCCAGGAAGGGCATTTTTATCCCAAATACTCCAAGGAAAATGGTGACTCCAACAGGCAGCCCGGGGTGAGGCCGGAGGCACCTGCCCTGATGTCAGACTTCAGGGAGCGTCCTCAAACTCACTCACCGACATCAATCACATGGCAACACAGGACTCCATGAAGCACCCAGGTTCATGCCAAAAACTGTGATGAATAGAACGTCGGCATTTTTCAGTAACGCCAGGATCCGGCCCCGCCCTCACATAACTCTGCCTCGTTCTTCCCCCTCCAGCCCCAGCCCAGAGGCCTGGATTTGGTGCAAGAGGGAGTGGATGTGTATGGCTTGAGCTCAAGGTCATTCTCTGGGTTCGGAGGTCAAGCCTGAGCTGGGACCTTGGTCTCCAGTCCTTTATGCACAGTTCTCTCCATCACACCGGGCAGTCACAGGCCAAGAGGAAGATGCTTACGGAAAACGTTCTTGTGTGTGTGTGTGTGTGTGTGTCCTTGACACCAACATCGACCTTGGCACACAAACTGTTTTCCCTGGAGAAAACCGTGTGCCCACACTCTACCACATTCTGGGCTCCTGGTATTGCAAACCATCGCTAAGCAGCTGCCCTGGCTGCTTCCGGGAACCCCTCCCTCTACAGCAACCTTCCACTTCCCCCTGTGCTGAATGCCCCCCCCCACGTGATGCAGGAACAGCCCCACCCAGGTGTGACACCTTCCCAGCCAAAGGCCCTGCTGGAGAAAGCCCAGTGGCTGTCGCCGAGGGCTACAGGTGAGTCATCAGCCCATCCTGTGAGCTCTGCAAGGCTAGTGCCTCCAGGCAAGGCCCGGCATTGCAGCAGGTGCAGGAAGAGCAAATCCCACAAAGGCACCGAGGTAGGAGGCGGCGGGGTTGCTCCGCTTCTGGGGCTCTGAGCCCTCCATTCCATTAAGCATTTGAACTGGGGAAATAGAAATTAATGTGGAGGGGCCGGCGTTGAGGCGCAGCGGGTTAAAGCCCTGGCCTGCAGCGCCGGCATCCCATATGGGCACTGGTTCTAGTCCCGGCTGCTCCTCTTCCGATCCAGCTCTCTGCTGTGGCCTGGGAAAGCAGTAGAGGATGGCCCAAGTCCTTAGGCCCCTGCACGCATGTGGAAGACCCTGAAGAAGCTCCTGGCTCCTGGCTTGGGATTGGCACAGCTCCGGCCGTTGCAGCCATCCGGGGAGTGAACCAGCGGATGGAAAATCTCTCTCTGTCTCTACTTCTCTCTGTAACTCTTTCAAATAAATTTTTTTAAAAAAAGAAATTAATGTGGAACGAACACCAGCGTTCTTGCAGATTCCACTTGTCCCCACAGGGAGAAGGGGCCGTGCACTATCCTTGCGACGCTGTGGACGCATCGGGGCTGTGGCCCACGGAAGAGCCACACGTGGGCCAGAGCCAGGCCTCCCTGCCCGCCAGGACAAAGGCTGAGGCGCACGGTGGCTGATGCGGAGGCAGAGGCAGGCGGCTGGGTGTGGCAGGAGGAGACCAGGTGTCAATCTGGTTCTGCCCTTCCGGGAGGTGACCTTGCTGAGCTGCTGCGGACCCGCCCATTGGGGGCGTGGCCACGGTGCCCCTCCCTGCAGGTGGTGGCCTCGGGACTCACTGTGGCAGCTCTGCAGCGCTGTGACAGGCACATGGGCCCCGGCGTCCCCGGGAGGGCACAGAGTGCAGCAACGACAGGGGACACGCCCCCGCAGGCCTCGGGGGGACTCGGTGCACTCTCACGTGAACACACACACAGGTGCACATTCACACACGTGGGCACACATGCACACTCACATGCACGCTCAGGGCACACTCACGTGAACACACGTGCACATTCACACACGTGGACACACTTGCACACTCACATACATGTTCAGTGGACACATGCACACAATGCACTTTCACACACGTGGACACATGCACACTCACATGAACACACGCGTGAACTTTCACACACATGGACACACACATGCACACATGCACACTCACATGCATACTCATGCGTACTCAGTGAACACATGAAGACAGACGTGCAGATTCACACACTTGGACACACACATGTACACACATTCGTACTCAGTGCACACTCACATGAACACACACAGGTGCACATTCACACACGTGGGCACACGCATGCACACTCACATGCATGCTCAGTGGACACATGACACACATGCACTTTCACACACGTGGACACATATGCACACTCACATGAACACACACGTGAACTTTCACACACGTGGACACACACATGCATACTCACTGCACACTCACATGAACACACACGGGCACACCCATGCCCCCTCACACGCATGCTCAGTGGACACAAGCACACACATGCACTTTCACACACGTGGGCACACACATGCATACCCACATGCACACATGTGGACACACAAGCACACTCACACACGGGGATGTCAGCTCCGTGAGGGCGGTTTCTGTGGCTGTCCGTCATTTTCAATCCCGGCACTGAATACTCGGCGCTGACTGGGTGAACGGGTGAGTGAGTGGCTGAGTGGACAAATGCGTGGTCGGCAGCAAAGCAAGAGAAGCATGAATGAAGGGATGGGATGAAAGAGTGAACAAGCCGATGAGTGAGTGATGGACGATGGACGGATGCTGGACAGACGTCAACTCTCCCAAACACACGAGCTTCTTCCTGCCGCGGGGCCTTGGCCTGAGCCACGCTGCCTCCCTCCCTGCAGGTCCTCACTCGAGCCTTAGCACAAGGTCACCTCCTCTGAGAGGCCCTCCCAGACGCCCCTCGCAGCCATTCTCTCTCTCTCTCTCTCTCTCTCTCTCTCTCTCTCTCTCTCTCCCTCTCGTCACCCTGCCCGCGGCCTGAATCTCCCGCATGTGTCGCTGGCTCGGGTGCCGATCACCTGTTTCCAGGTACTCTGGTCGGGGCAGGGACCTTCTCAGTGTCCCCGGGCCCTAGAAGAGTTCTTGGCACCCAGCAGGAGCCCGGGAAGCAATGGCTGAATGAATTAATTAATTAATTAATTCTTCCTTAAAGACACCCACACTCTGCTTTGTTACTCATGTTTGTCCTCCGGGCAGGTCCTCCCCCTGGGCTCTGTGGCCGGTGGGGCCAGGTGAGTGCTGGGGATCTGCCCTGGGCAGGAGAGGGGAAGCTGGGCCTGCACCCGCTGGTTGCCCGCAGCTCGAACGCACCCCTGCCCGGTGCGGCTTAGCCCTGCGCTGGGCGCTGAGCCCCAGGTCATCCACGGATTTCGGAGTCGAGCGCGGCCCTGCCGCAGTTCCGCCGCGTGGCCAGCAGGTGGCAGCAAAGACCGCCCTTTCAGCGGCGCGGCTGCCGTCGCGGTGCGAAGTTCCGCTGTCCCCGCGTGGGAACCGCGCACCTGCGCCCCGCGGGGCATGGCGGGCGCCCCGCGCCGCTGCCGCCTCTCCGCATCGCACGCCACGAGCGACGCCGCCGACCCCGCGCGGTGAGAGAGGCGCCTGGGAGTCGGGCGGGTTCAGGCGAGCGCTCCGTGCCTGCGACCTGCCCTGCGCTCTCCTCGGTCCGCGCCGGCTCCAGGGTTCTCACTCCGGGATCGCGTGGGGTTCAGGGAGCAGGGGCTGGGGCTGGGGCCGTCGCCGAAGGCGCCCCCAGGTGTGCTGACTCAGGGTCCCAGAAGCAGGCGCTCCCCGGGGGGGCTGCACCTGCCCCCAGCGACCACCTACAGAGTTCCTAAGAAAGACGGGAACCCTGAGCCCACCCTCAGCCATCAGGCCCAGGGCTCAGCCTGGGCATCAGGCCCTGTACAGGCTGCCGGCTCGCTGCGGCGGGCAGCAGGTGCCACACCTGCCCTGTCTCTCGGCAGATGCCCCAGGTCGGCAGCAGTAGCGCGGGGGGCTGACCAGAGAGTCCAGTGGCCCCAGGGGCAGCTGTCCGCCTGGGGCTCAGCAGGCCCCAAGACTCGCCTGGAGACCCCACGCGCACCGGACGCTGAGTGGGACGGGCTTCCCTGGGGAGTGGGGGGAGGAAGAGGCGTGGTCTCACAGATCTCCCCCCACAGCGGCAGTGCTAGGCCCCGCCCCACCCACAGTTGGCTTAGCCCGGTGGACACCAGCCCACCCAGACCCCTGCGACTATGCCCTCCCCTGCCCCTCAGCCAAGGGTGTGCGGTCCTTTCTCTAAGCCGCTAACAGCGCCAGCACAGCTCACACGGGGACAGGGAGCTGGCTGCAGGTGCAGGGCCTCGGGCCCACCACGACGGCCGAACCACAGCTGCGTTTTCCTTTTGTTTATTTGACGAGCAGAGAGCTAGAGACACAGAAAGCTCCCGAGAGCTGAGGCTGGGCCTGGCACTCCATCTGGGTTTCCCGCACGGGTGGCAGGGACCCAAGTCCCCTCCAGGGCGTGCCTTCCCAGGGAGCTGGAATCCGCAGCCAACCCAGAGAGGAGACCCGGCTCGGAGGCGCGAGATGCAGATGGTTCTGCTGTGACCTGGTCCCGTGACAGCTCGCCAAGCCCTGGTTGTCCCCTTGCCCGGCTCTGCGCGGCGCCCGCTCTGCACAGTTCAGGACCTGGGGCGTGTGGCCGTGAAGTCCCCCACGAGCACCTGCTGGGGCTGGAGCCGGCTCTGCCCTGTGTGCCTTCTACTGGTGCAGGCACACGCCTGCCCCAGAGACCTCAGGGTCGCTGGCTCGGGCGGGGTCGTGGGCACTGTTCTTAACCCTGCAGGTGATGCCAGGAGCAGCCGCCTTGTGACCCGCTGGCCCGGGGGCCCGGGGCGCCCGCTTCCGTGCGCTTTCCCCACACACTTGAGCCTCCATGGTCTGGGATTCTGCATCCGAGAATGGCAGTCGGTCCCCCACGGGGGTGCTGAGAGTGACCTGAGCCCGCGTCCGCTTGGGGCCGGTGTTTCTGGCGACTGCTGGGAGGGGCCCCTCATTGTCGCCCTCCCGTGCAGGCGTCCGCTGTGATCCTGACCACCTGAGAGGCTTTCCTTTTCCCTCTGAGGTCCAGGGCCCTGGCTGAGCTCAGCAGGGAATTCTCCCCTCGTGGGGCTGGGAGGCCGGGGTCTCCGCTGGCCTCCTGGTGGGGCTCACTAGAGGGAGCCAGGAGCGTGCAGGGCGCACCGTGCACCTGCGCCCGACTTGGCCAGCCTCTCTGAGCATCCTCAATGAGTTCTTTAGAGCGAAGTGAAGCTGAGCCCAGGGCAGGGGTGAGGGGGCTAAGCCAGAGCTGCCACTGGACACAGTCCCCGGTGTGGCTGACCGCTTGCTGCTGCATCCTTCGGGCCCTGGTCCAGGCCACATGGACGCACAGGGGTGCGGCAGGCACTGCACGGGGTGGCGCGGAGACCACGGCCCAGCCCCCTACCCCGGGCCCAGCCTCGCCCACGGCAGCCACGGTGGGCGCCCAGGCTCACACGGCCTGGTCCTGCCTCTGCCTCAGGCTGAGCACGCGGGCCGCGGCCAGGAAGGCGGCCCCGGTGAGCAGCTCGGCGATGAAGCTGACCCAGCCCAGGGCCAGGGACCAGCCGAAGCGGATGTCCACCTGCTGCAGCAGTGCCTTCTCCTCCAGGAGACACAGCGCCTCCCGGAAGGCGGCCGCCGAGTACGCGATGTACACGCTGATGCCGGCGAGCGTCACGGCGGCTGCAGGGGGGCAGGCGCGTGGAAGCGGGCCCTCCTCTTCCTCCACACCTCCGGTCCTCCCCTCCTCTTCCTCCTCCTCCCCTCTCCCCCTCCTCTTCCTCC